ATAAATAATGCGAAAGTCACTAAGAACGTGTACAATCGAAATTATCAATCAATATCGTAATTACCTATAATTATGGAATAAATGTATTCTTATTCTTATCTGAGAAGTGTTATCCCTTGTGCTATCAGTGATAAACGATACTGACTTCGTTTTGTTGTTCATTCATCCCATTACTCGTATCAGGAAAACTCCTGTGCTCTCTACTTACTCCAGTAAAGGACAAGCGTCATGATGTGTGTGAATACACCCTTATTGCATAAGAACATGTTTAGTACAATGTTTATTTTAAAATACTTAATGTACCCGTTAAAAATTATGAGTTTTAGTTTGTTTCGTTTAACTAATTAGGTCACATTTTACGTATTGTTTCATATTTTACAGTTTAAATTTGACTATTTATTATACAATACATTTTTTAAAGTATTTAAAAAATTGCAGTAATTAAAAAACAATGTTAAGATTCAATCACAGAACACTATAAATAAAATCTTATGTTTCGTTACGTAATACAAAATTATAATGTGCTTTTAAAACACAAAAATATTAGTTGTCATATTTTGGTCTAAAAACGGTTTTAATTAGTTTGCTGTGGCAAATAGAATGAAGAGCAATAAATTATAGAGCAAAAAATTATAGTTCACGCTCGGCCTACAGTTAACTGTAAACCGACGGCGAAATGCGAATTACTGTTTAATAGACAGTTTCTTTCATTTCGATGATTTTTATTGCTTTCTTCTGTTCAAACAACTTTGGACGAGACCGAAGGATATTGAAATGACCGAACCACGTTGCCTACACACAATATTTTGAATAATGGCTGAATACCGTAAACAAATACCGTAAAAATATTTATAACTTACATAATATATTATATACTTCCGGACACATAATTCGAGCCACCAGTCTTAGAATACAACAGGAGTGTTATCGTCGAAGACAAAGTTTTCCCTCGGTTTTGTAAATCCAAATTTCCAACATGGATTTATGGAAAAAACGTTTAGTATACTAATTTCAAACTTGCTTTATAGTTTTTGATTAATCATACATTGTTCAAGCGGAGGGCATTTAACACTGAAAATGCGAGGTGCCTCGAATTATGTGTCCGGGAGTGTATAACTTATGCATCGACGTCAGTCTAGAGCAGAGGTTCCCAGATTCTTTTTCTCATAGACCACTTTCAAAATTTAGCAGGTTCTGGTGAACCCCTCGCTGCTACATTTCTACCATATTCCCAAAAGTCGACAAAAAAATGTGAAGATTAGATCTAACTATGAAAATTTGCAACGCAAATTGCAGAGTCCAACCACAAATTAATAGTTTTCGAAAAAAAGTGAGAATTTAATTAATTGTGCTGCGAGTGGATGTCAAAAAAGTAAAGACACGTTGTACTGAATATGGACTATGCAAGTTTTTACAAGTAACAGTCGCTAAGCTTCTTAAAATATTATCTGCCTGCATTGATATGTGAAGTCAAGCCAACATTTTAGTTCTTCATTATCGAAAGCAGATCAATTTTCGTGGATGTTTTCCGCTAACGAATTGTGAACCCCCATTTTTTTTGTCACGCCTACGTACAACCCCGTCGAGACTCCCGTGAACCCCTGGGGGTCCACCTGGACGACTTTGGGAACTAAGGGTCGAGAGATTCAAGAGATTTCGACTTGAATGAGCCTTTGAGACATTTTCTAAAATGCCAGCAGTTTATGGTCAACTCTATAACGTACACGTACAGCTTGAAAAAACAAACAACATCGTCGCATTCGATCGACGATCGACGATCGTAATTGTGCACAACAGGTTAAGTTACAAGACACGAGTATGTTCAACATTCATTTACTTTCACATTGCTAGAATAGAAGCAATAAACAAATGACTCAGATCGAGATTAAAACGTGATTGATTATAGATAATAAAAGCTGTTATATCAACATAGAATGACAACATAGTCATAGGGATAACTGGATCAACCGACTTTGTAAAAAGGTGCATAGCAAATGAATTAGAATTTCATTTCATTTAATAGAATTTCTTCATCTGGAGTATGAATATAAAACCGTTATACATCAGAAACAAGAAGAAATATTGGTTGGAAAAGGCTATCGTATAAGCCAGAGTTTCCCAAATTATTTGTCTGGTAGACCCCCAGCCTTTCTAATATTGCATTTTTTATTGCATCATCCACTTCAAATTTGTGTGTGTCACAGTGTTAGTGAGAAACTTTAACTCAAGTTTTTTACGTATATCTAATTTAATATCTTGTTTGTTGTGAAATGTGTAAATACTTCATAGATAATTTATACGTGTATTCTATGAAAGTATTAAACCTCAGGTATTAAATATGTGTAAATTTGATTATTATATTTATGGAAAGCCAACATTTTGATCACGACCTGCCTAAATGCAATCCACACTCGTGGATCCCCTTTAACGTCTCATACAATCCCTATTTTATTCGTTTACATAGACTCCTGGGGGTCGACATTTGGCAACTTTGGGGATCATAGGTAGGTAAAATAAGCGAACACATCAGATGGCGTCAAATATTTCACAGAAACTGAATCATTACTTGGCGCACATTCAATTTATTATTACTACAAATTCTCGCAATCGTACTCTAAAATGTTTCATTTATAGCACTGAGCAGTTTTCGTGAATGACCTAACCTCACTACGACGTTTTCTACCTCATCACCTTTATTGCTTTGGAATATTTCCAAGCAATCTAATTTCTGACAACCACGGTCATGACATTTCTTAAAAGTGAAAACTGTTGTACTTTAGATCATTGAAGTAGCCAGTCTACATCAAGAATGTAGTAGTAAAAGCTTTTTGCAAAAAAGGCTCGCATGTCAATAATTGTTAAGTTGAATTTATAAATCCATGTTCAGCCTAAGTGGGCAATTATCTCAAAGTTTAAAATGCCTATCTAAAAATGTAGGGCTATGAATTAACGCAATAGTGCAAGATGTAGGAGTCTAAATAGAGAAATTCTTAAATAATTTGTTACGATTTGTAATATCATGTACTTACTACAAATTATATTATCTATGGTCACATGTATAACATGAAATTCCTTATTTCGTACCTTTTTTGGTATAATAAATCCACATGCGATCATATATCAGAAGTGTTTTTATCACACGACAGTCTTAAAAAATAACACAATATACGCGAAACATATTGTTTTACACAAATTTAAACAAACTTTATGACTCTCTTTTAAGCATAAGAAAGTTACCGATCACGACGGCCAATTTGGTTCGTAGAACCTTTAAACCTCTGTCCTGAAAAGTTGTGAAGGGTGTGATTTCTTTTTATACACGAATCTACAAATCACTGTGTTCAAAATAGTCATCTACACTACTCAAACGAATGACTCAACCATTACCTCAATTCGCCGTCATAGTCTTACAAATTGTATTACTTGCTACAAGACAGTAAATCATTCCCTTCCTGTTGGTAAGTACTGCTTCCTTACCGATATATATGTCACTTACGCGTTCCTTGCTTCAATGTATGATGCGTGAATCATATCCAATGAGGCATTAATTACCACACCCAATGAACAATAACGAAATTAGATGATTTAGAGTATAGGTTTTCAAACTTTTCGACTCACCGCCCACTTAGACAAGGTAAAAGAAATTTAAACCCAAAACCACCACAAAAAGAATAGAAAACACGTATTTCTTATATCAACACGAAAAAATCACAAGGAAAAAAAATATATTTGTAGTATAGTTTATATAGATAATTCCCCCAATTGCTTACCGCTACCCCTACCGCCTCTGTAGGACTCTTCAGCGCTCATCGGGTAGGGACCACTTTGACAAACTATGATTTAGAGAAATAACAAGCCCAAACAAAGTTATACAAAAATATGAACGGATTTTAATTATAATTAAAACGTTACGGGTATCCTATAACATAAGGAAAAAACTAGTTTGAGAAACACCAAGTTACAAATATTATACCGTAATTAGAACAAGACAAGAAGTGTAATTAATCAAGTAATATAGGTGTTATCAAGTAATAAGCAAATGAACTTCCGCGAATGTGGAAATAAGCATTACATTCACAGTAATTTTGCAAAACATTTCTAATTTAGTACATTTACACTCGGTAGCGAATCAAGGGCAATGCTGAAATATTTATTTGCGGATTTGAATCAACGGTAGCATAAATTACAAACGCGTATCCATTTATTTTCGAGGCTGATCCGCGAAGAGGAATTCTTTATTAAAGTAAAAGCGTAAAACCGAGTAATTATTCGATGCTGATCTAATCGAAATGAATCAAATAAAAAAATGAGGAGGTATCGGAATTATCCGCTCGAGTGGATACAATCATTGAGGTATAATAGTATTGGTCGTCCTTCTATCTCGTTAATCAAGTATATCATCAAAAGATATATTGATGAAATATCGACCAATACAGTGGTATAACCGTTTTGCCATCAATGGATGGCAAAACGGTTTGGACACCTTAATATGCGAGGACGATGAAGAGGTTAGAAAAGAATGCCGAATTAAATAGAATTATCAAGTAAGAGAAGTTAAAAATAATGATTTCCATAAAAAAGTTTTACAAAATCTCAAATAACGAACGTGGCAGGAATTAAAATGCTGCCAAAAATAGAAGCAGTAGTCTAAGTACAGAGAACTTAAAAAAAAACGACCTCAAAAGTTCGTGGAATTATATCAATTTGCCATGTTTTACTGAAATCGGTTACCGAAAAGTGAAACCGGATTCATCCCCTAGTTTACCACCCATAGATGTGGAATATTTTCTTCGAATTTAAATGGGACCAATACCAAGGTCTTTCCAACAAAAAAATAATCATCAAAATCGGTTCACTAGTTATCGCGTAACATACAAAAAAGACAGTCTAATTGAGAACCTTGAGAAGTCGGTGAAAACGAACTGTTCTTAATGGTACTGTATCATACGAGGGTACATTCATCAATCCGTAATTAATATTCTTCTCTTTTTTCTCCATAGGTGCAATTACTACAGCAACAGGTGACCTCCCTGGCGGATACCCAGAGTACAGCAGACGACCGCTACGCAAGGGCCAAAGCTGAAAACGCTGTACTCCAGGCTCGCGTACACATACTCGATGAACAGATCCGAGAGGTAAAATCGTGCTTATACACAAAAACAAACTAAAAAAAACAACCAACTTCAAAAACCACAATGTACACTATCCTAAAAAGCGAAAAATAACAAATTATAGATTTCATCGAAACAACAACAATGCACGATATACTTTAAATTAATTTTTGTCTTATTTTGTTTTGTACACAGTATTATAATTACTTTTTAATGAATCTGTCTACATTTATAGTTTATTTATACAATAATGGAGAAATCCGAAAGCGTAGGAGATACAAGGAAACTGTCTTAGGACCCATTAAGTCCTTTTTTATGAAAACAATTTTGACAGTGAATTTTTTGGTCAAGCGTGACTTGTCCATAAAAATTATTAAAATTGATCCAACTTTTTTTTAGTACTAATCCACTCAGTTTCATGAAGGGATCATTTTATTGTATCGGACAAAAAATCGGGACAGCCGAAGTTGGTCAAATTTCATAGCGTATTCAATTATATTAGTCCATTTTATTATTTTTGTTTGAAAAATTATTATTTTAACAACTCGATATTATTTTAAATTTGACCAACTTCTACTGTCCCTATTTTTTCAGATTTTTTTCATCACATCACAGTTGTTATCTCCTAATAATAAAAAGTTGCAAAATATATATTATTAAAATATGTGTTATTATTATTAACATAATATACAGATCGAGTGCCGGTGCGACGAGCGCATAGCAGAGGAGCAAAGGCGATGTCGTGAAGCAATCTCCAGGTTGGAAAGAGACCGCGACCAACAACTATCAGCCCTTAACGACAGATTGTCCGCTGCAGAGACTGAAGCTTCTGATCTCAAGCAGGAGGTTAGAAAACGTACCTTTTCCTTTCTTTGTTAAAAACATACATATCTCTTAGTTTGTAACGAATGGTAGCAGAATCAGATATCTAAAGATGTGCTATGTTTCAGTCTTTATTTGATTATTTTAAACTTAAAATGCATCAAAAATATTTAAATACACTGAACAACTGTTCCACAAATTACAGGTGGGTAGACTCCGAGGAGTAGCAGAAACATTACGAGCGAATGCTGAAGCGACAGCGCGGGCGCATCGTGAAGCGCAAGAACAAGTAGCAGAACTGCTTTCACAACTCAGCGCGGCGAGAGAATCCGAAAGACGCGAACGAGATGCCGCGACGGCCGCGACTGAACTGCTGACTGCAGCGAAGTTAGAACTCCAACGGATCAAAGAAACACCACCACCACCTCCCGATCCTAGATTAGATGAGATGAGAAAGGAGCTACTGTTACTTCGCACTCATAACAAATGTAAGGCAGAAATTAAATTTAAAAACTACATTACATACACAACCTTTTACTCCTATTGTATTACCTACATCAATAAGGAATAAAATAAATAAAAAATAAATTGGTAAGGTTCGCTTACTTAATAAAATTGTAAATGTTTAAATATTTCTGCAATAAACTAGGCTAAACTCAAAAGTAAATTACCAAGCATTATGATGGCATTCACAAGGCTATTTGTATTAGCGTATTTGATATATTTGACATACAATCACCATGTGTGGATAGTATGTGTAATAAGGCAAATACTTTGTGTATTTGCCTTATTTCCCTTTCCAACAAATACAGCAAACACCAAGCTCATACTCAGAAAAGGCTAGCTTAACTGCCTCTGTGGCCGAACGGATACCATGCTGGACCGCCACGCAGAGATCCCGAGTTCGATTCCCGGGCTGGGAGAAATATTTGTATGGCCTACATTTATTTCTCTTGTGAGTTTGGGTGTAATCTGTGGTTGTCTATGTGTGCGTCTATGGCACCCGCGATTGCGAGTGTGTGCGTTATTTTATAAGGCTAAGTTGATGAAATGACAATTTATTTTACAGCACTTACCGAAGCGCAAGAAGAACTTCAAGCTCAGATCCTAACTCGAGGTGTTGAAGAAGGTCGCAGTTTACTTGACGGCGTTAATGGCCCCCTCTGTGCCACCAACTCGCTAGCACACGAACTCTCTCAGATGAGCGATGATGAGGTAAATCTCGCTTTACGACACCACAACACACGCTTACTAATTGTTCGTAGTCACTTGCACTTTGATTGTAACCTCCACAGCGAACGAAACTCGCATAGTTTACCATAACTCTAGTAGCTCGTAATGGAACTAAAAATATTAATAATATTTCGTGAAACCAATTACTGTCGTAACTCTAAATTGCTGAATTGAGACAACACAATTTGAAAATTAAAAAAAAAACTGAATGGATCTTATTGCGAATAATGTGATTACTTTTATTTATACATAACACTTAATTATCCATTTATAAACTTTCAAATCGTGTGCGATTTGTTGTTCCATTGGCTATGTTACTTTCGTGTGCGTTAGACGTCGATATGTGGCTTCGTTTCCATTGTCGTTTGTTACATTTTTATTTGTTATCAAGTCCATGTTTGTTATCATTGTTTCCAAGAACTCGCTTTCATTTTGGTTGTTCAAAATATATTCCAATTTCCTTTGGTATCTTCACTTCCGTGCACATTGTCAGTTCGAACTTGAGGCTCATAAAATTCAACAAGGTTACAACCATCGCCATCGCTTTTGCTTTTTAAGAAGCCTCGTTTTTAATTGCAGTGCAACTTATATTTTTATGTATGCGTTTTTGCAGCTCGATGGTAGCGATACACTACACAGCATAGAGTTGGAAAAGGTACGCATATTTACGATAAGTGCACGTTTGTACCTTTGGTTTGGGCATGGTTTTGCATAGCGCGTTCATGCATGTTTCACACTTACAACAATTGTAACACATTTTTCGTTTGTCAAATTAACCGCTTACCATTTTTTCGAACGGGTTAAGTATGTGTAAGGTACCTTTTTCATGCTTTATGGAATGCTTACTCTACTTTCATTTACCATATATAACCACATATTTCATAAGGCCATCCAATGTATTATATACCTATACTAAAGGTAAACTTTGTACACGGAATGCAAAATTTATAATCAGACTGCATGTAAATTAATAGAAAGAGCTAGAACAAGTTTCAAATATTTGTTTCTCAATTACAGCTTCAAAAGGCTCTAAAGGAACAGCAAGATGTCAACGTGCAACTAAGAAATTACATCGACGGAATCCTACTGTCGATCGTAGAAAACTACCCACAACTTCTCGAAGTCAAGTACCAGAAGCAATCAGGCGATATCAAGTCATAACAAACGATCGGAATAATCACTCGATACTGCGTCCTCATTTTTATAAACAATTTTGAATGAACAGGTTCATTTTATACATTAAATTATTATTTTTTAAACGTCTGTTATAAATTGGAATAAAATTCGTAATGGATGTTTCTGTGATAGATAAAAAGCGTTATAAAAACGTTGAGATGGTAACGAAAAAATATATAGGTTAAGAAGAATTTTTATGAATGAATAATTGGGAAACTTTAACGACTATTATAGTTGGTGTGTATACAAAGGGGGTTTTAATGTTGAGGAATATTTAGGCGTGCCAGAAATTATCTCTACAAGAGTAACATTTTATGTAGTGTAAATATTAAAAAACTCTATGTACAGTTTTAGAGTTAAATATATTATAGAAATTTATAATGTATTATATGTTTGGGGAGCAGAAGCGAGTACGTACTCGTACGTACTAATTTTAAATTTAATAATAAAAGATCTGTGAACGAAGCCAATAATAAATCTGTATTCAATAAAGGCCAGGCCGTCCATAGATAATATACTATTGCTTTATACTTATAGAATTTTCATGAAAGACTGGAACAGGTGCTGTAAACGATAGCCCTGATGATATGGAAAGCAAATAACTTATAACAAAAGCCATGAATGAAGATTTCCTGTCTGTAAATTTGGGTCATTAGCTGCGTAATTAGTCCTTAAAATATTTTCTAAGAGATTATGTACCTATTTTTACAATGAGATATTTATAGTTCTAAGTTAGCATGTAGACGTTAGGCATTTGTGTAAATTTTGATAACAATCGTAGTGTAATTTTGAAGAAACATGTTATAACAGTCAATATAAATTAAATCAATTCTAATTCACGAATTCAGTCTTTTATTTAGATACACAGAAGTTTTACAGCTTACACTAGTAGTGACCAGCGCTACTCTTGGTGTTCTTCAACGATTTCCGTGTCTTCTTTCTTGTTCTGATCCAAATTGCTTAAAACTTGCTGGACGTCTAAACGAAGCATCATGAATTTGGGATCCATGTAATCCTGCAAATACCAATACATTAACATCAATTTTCGAACCAAGTGATATTTCCACATTGAGTAATTAATACAAATACATACTTTAAAGGCTCCAGAATCAATTGGAATGGACTGTGTAGCTTGAGCATTATCTTGACCAGTCGTCCTTTCACTATATCTTTCATTAGGACCAGATCCAATCACAGCAGCGTGTCTAAGACTGAAATTCCTACTCATAAGGTGTGCCATTTCTTGCTCTATAGCGGTCAAGGCAGAATTCATAGTTGTACTACCGTAATCTCTAGCCACTGGCAAGTAAGTTTCTGGCAAGACATATGCTGGGTCAAAATTATACGCAGAAATATTTTGATTAGATTTACAAAGAGAACATTGCTGCCCACTTTCTAATTGTTTCCGTTCATTATGAAGACTCAACCTTTCCCTTGATAAAGCTACTTTTTCCTTAGCAATCTGTTTTTCTCTACCGTTGAGAGATACGACGTGTTCTTGAATTCTTCTTATTCGATCTTCATATTTTCTTTGAATGAATTCGGCTTCGGCAAATCTTTTATCGGCTTGGGTTTGCTTTTCTACTGCATTTCGAGCAAGCAAATCTAAATCACGACTCCTAAAACAAGTATATCATTACATTCAATCATATCATTACTAAGTGGATTCTAATTCATGTAAAAAAACTATAGGGAACGATACACCATCATCAATATAATATTATTATTTTAACTACGTACTTTGCCATCACTCTTTGTTCTTCCATATGCAGTTGCTGCTTTTCCAAGTTTATTTTCGATCGTTCTTCCGTAACTTCCTCTAATTGAGCGTTCAGTTCTGCTTTAGTTTTCTGAAATTAAGGAAATTTAATAGAGGCCTTGCGCTTAAAAACCATGTATTTAACTAAATATTTGTTTTCTTCTACCTCAAGTTCCTGTTTTAAACTCTGAATAGAAGCTTTCTCTTTGGCAACAACTGCGCTGTCTTTAATAGCCTTTGCTTTTTCTTCTTCAATTTTTGCTATTTTCTCTTTATATTCCCTTTGAATATCTTCTTTTAACAGCTGCATAAAAATAACTATTATTACAATGAACTATTATATAATAAACTTACTTTACTTTAATAGTTTTGTAACCTTAAGTTCGTCGTCTTGTCTTTTAAAGATGTTCTTAGCAAATTCAGTTTGTTTATTGAAAGTAGCTTTCTCAAATTCGAATTCCAATTTCTTTTGCTTCAGTAATGCTGTTTCTTCCTCTATCATCTACGAAATATAAAAAAAATATTAATTTCTCGTTACTGCAGACAAACCTTACACTTTTTTTCATTTGCATTTTACAGAAATTATTTACCGTCGTCATCTGCTTAAGTCTTGTTTCTAACATTTTAACTACCTCTCTGCTTTCTGTTTTTTCAGAATCGAAATATTCTCTTTCTTTTTTTAACTGTTGAATCATAGCTGAAAAAAATGACAAGCAATGAAATAATGTAAAGATCCATTTATAAGAGTAAAGTTTTCCATCTACCCACCATCAATATGGGTCTCACGAGTTTGCAAACCTTTTTCTGTATCTCGCTGCGTATGTTCAGTCAACAGTTGAACTTTTTCTACTAATTGCTGGCATCGTGATCGGTTTTCTTTAACATCGATAACTAATTCATGTAAATCTGAAGAGAAACCTGCTGAGTCTTTGATGAGAACTTGCTCTTGTTTTACAGCATTTCTGAAATTTGAAAATATAATTTTACCTATTGCAAAAGGTACTTCTTTTAATATCATCACCAATATAACTGAACTAAATAATTAATCATAAACGTATCTTACTTAACATTTTCCATTAAAGTTGCATGATGTTCTTGCAAGATTCTTATATTCTCCAAATGCTGTTGTCTCAGCATCTCATTTTCACTATTATGTCGATCGATCAAAGAAGTCATATTGTCTTCTGTAAGTTTCTTGAACAGTTGGTGATGTTCTTTCATCCAATTTATCTTTTCTGTGTAGAATTTGATTAATTTGTCACTTTCTTCTTTCATTCTCTCTTCGGATTGATTGATTGAAACTTCTAGAAACGTCAACTGGCGTCTGAAATTCGTAAACAATGGCATCATTATAGCTTGTTATTATTACACTACTCTACTGTTGAATGTTTTTTACCTATAAGAACTTTCCATAAGGTCTATTTCTTTATCATGGTTCTCTTGAAGGAACTGAACCAACTGCAGTAACTGTTTCTTTTCCTTCATATGTGGGCTTTCTGCTTTTTCGCCACGAGTGCTATAATTTTCATCATCAGATTGATGAGATTTTTCTTCGTCATCCAAGATATTAGTCGAGGAACTCAATAGAGCCTGAAAATTTTATACAAGCGATTATTTTTAGCGATTATTATAGGCGACTATTTATGTTGATTTCAGTTGCTATACCTTAATGCGCTGAGTGATTCGTTCTTGGTGAGCTGAAATGATGGTCTGCATCTGTTGCCTCTGTGCTGCTTGGCGCTGCAAAATAGAGTCCAATTGAGCATGACGTGCCTGCGTTGCTTCACGTTGCATACGCTGCACTTCTTTTTGGCGCACTAAAAAATGAAGTAGTATTGTAAAGCTTGTAAATGTATAAAATTATTAATGAACACTATATATGACTCTCATTACTAACTTTGCATCGCAGCTAGTTTTTCTTCCTGTTCTTTCAATTGCATTGCAACCATCAACTGGGACTCTTGTTGCTGAAAATATAACGCCGCACTCTCTGCAGTTATGTCTTCGTTACTAACTCGCAATACACTAGCTGGAGGAATAGTCTTTGTTAGCTGCTCCAAGGTTAAATCAACCCGCGGTTCTTTTTCTTCAGCAGTTTGACTAATTGACTTAGTTTTGTCTATTTGCTCGGTTATTTCTTTAGGTTTCTCGTCCAAAGCATCTTCCTTCGATTTCATTTCTTTATCAACAGGTTTCTTCTTTTTAGAGTCTCCGACTAACCAGGCAGGCATACCCGCGTCATCTTCACCTTCATCAAAGTCTTTATTTTGGAATATACCAAGCCAATCTTCACTAGGCTTTTGTTTCTTTGTAATGTCTTCTTTTGGAGCTTCAACTTTGACATTTTGTTTTTGGGATACATTTTTGGATGGGGCAGTGGTTTGCTTTAGTTCATTTTTACCTAAAATTGAATCTAAATCAAAATCTTGACTTTTCGTAACTGTAGTTGGTGGTTTTGTTACCTGAGTGGATCCACCTGTTTTAGCGGGTAATCCTCCTAAAATATCATCAAGTAATGATTGAGAACTTTTGCCCCTTTCCAACGGTTTTGGGAGGTCTTTTCTTGACTCAGTTAGATCACCCAGTATATCAAGCTTATCTACACTAGCACTTACTCTAGATTTAGCTGGTGAAGCAATTGGGTCATACTTTTCTGCAGTAAGTTTTGTTTTAGGTTCTGTAAGTATTTTTATTGGCTCTCTTGAAACTGTTTTCTTTACAGGCCCAGGAGATTTTATATTTTCAGTTTTGGAAATTTTATCCTGTTCAACGACTGATATTTTTTTGTTATCTGATATTCCGAGATCAAACAGTGAATCTTTTCTTTCATTCAAATTTAAGTGTTTACGCGTATCACCATCTCCTAAATCAAATAATATTGTTTTCTTTTCGGCTATGGGTGTAGACTTTTTTTTCGCGGGTTTCTTCTTCCCCAGGATGTCGTCATCAAAGAAACTGTCGTCGCTGCCATCACTTAGAATCCCTGCTAAGGGGTCGTCCAGATTAAAACTCATAACTCAACATTTATAAATAAAACTGAAACTCCTGCTAATCGCGTAATAAATTCAGATCGTAGTAGTAAATACAGATCATTATAATTCGCACATGTTTGTGAATTAGCCGCCATGGAAACCGGAAGTGTCAACAAGTCGGCAAAAAAATGCTTTTGAAAAGCTTTTGAATGTAATCGCTTCATAGATAGGTTCATTTATTGCGCTGCTCCCAATATTATTAATTGTCGCTATACCGATCACTCAGAATTTAATTCTTCATATTTTCTTCAATTCATTCACTTGCAATCGCAATGAGAAACGAAGCTTTTGGATTTTTGGTATTTTGCGACTTGTTTGAACGCAACTTCAAACCGAATGACATTTCGCTAATTTCAGATTTCTAAACGCTTTACAATGGTGACGAAAAATTTGTTGCTTCACGTCAGCCAGGCGGCTGCATTATAATTATTTTTTTCAAAACAGCCGAGTAAGAAAGTGATATTTGTTGTATTGCCAAAACTGCAGGAATAATTCACATCAATCATGGACTACATTGGTAAGTTTACACTCAGCAAAAACGTTGAATCGCTCGGTATAATTTCTGACAGCCTTTGTGATCCTATACACCGAGGGCTTTTGTTCTAGAAATTTTGCATACTCACGATCACGTTTACTTTCTTTATCAGCTTCGGAAAAGGGTGACTCTACGGAGAACCGCGACCCAAACTCGCTAATATCCAATGGAACTTCAAAATCTGCGATTGACAGTAAATCTATCGCGGAAGATGACAAGTCGCACATGGAAGCGTCCGCCGAAACTGCCGCATGCTCCTCTGAATCTACCGAAGAATCCGAGCTATGCGAAATCCCTGAGCAGGTCGAATTTACCATAGTATTTAACAAAGTAAAGCACGAAATATCGTTTGCATATGATGCTACTGTATTGGATCTGAAAGCCCACCTGGAGAGAATCACTGGAGTGCCACTCTCAGCGCAGAAGTTAATAGTGAAAGGAATGGCAAAGGACACTATGACTCTGCGCAATGCAGGCATTGTCAAGGGAGGCAAAGTCATGCTAGTGGGATCTAAAATGGACGACATTTTAGCTGTGAAGAGTGTGCCAAAGGTTTGTAAACAAAAATGTGCAAATATTATAATTTTGTGTGTGTGCAGACTTTGTGATACTAATTAGATTTTTAAACCAGGAATTAGTAGAAGATAAAGCTTCAAGTCAGACAAGTAAGGAACCACTGTGTATGCAGAAAATCCATAGGAAAGTGTTGGACAAAGGCATTCCACCTGATGTTATGCCAGGAATCAAAGGAGTTAAGGTAAAATATGTATCTCAAAAATACTAGGGAAAACCAGTATGGGGGAGCAATTAAAGCAATAACAAAATACACTTGTTTTTATTTACTACAGGAACCACTGCCACCTGTCCCGTTGAGTGGGATGTTAAATAAACATGGAGGAAAAGTACGGCTCACATTCAAACCAGAACAAGATCAGCTTTGGCTTGGCACTAAAGAACGTACTGAGAAACTTGCCATGACATCCATCAAAAGTAAGTTTAACTTTACATAAATTATATAAACCTATTATTATACATACATATACATTTGCCCTCATCCCTTGGATACCATAACCACTTTTTACAATATCCATCATAAGATATTGGTACATTACGAATACACAATCCATAGGTTCACATCACTTACCTTTTGCAATCCTTGTAAAATTTAAACTATCACTTGCGAACATACAACTGTGTGTCCTTTTTGACATCTAGTCATCTTCTCTTTTAGGCATCACATCAGAACCAATCAAAGAACATGAAGAATATCATATCATGGTAAGTAACTATAAAAATGTTAATAATTTTACTAACACCATTGGTTTGTGCAAGTGAAATTGTAACAAATTTTTAATTACATTTTTAAACATATTTTCATCATTATAGGGTCTCCAGTTAGGTCCAACAGAAGCATCCAGATATTGGGTCTACTGGGTGCCAGCACAGTACATTGAAGCCATCAAGGATGCAGTGCTTGGTGTCTGGCAGTTCTTTTAATTCCATCAACCCATGCTGCGTCAACCCCCATTATGCATTGGGTAGTTGCAATATGTATGTAAAATTAAATGTATATTACCTTCTCATTGGTGCAGCATAAAAAGTACCGTTTCTTTTGTGATATATGTATATGCCACGTCAATTAAATTTGTCCATTCAATATCTGGCATCTATCTGGTCAAATCAAATGAGAAATTATTTATTTTAAGTATTGTAAGTTTGCATTTCTAGCATTTGGGTTCTATGAGCTGTACAGTGATGCTGTCTGTCTTATGAAGAGTGCATCTATATCTGTAATGAGCTTATTGTCCCCTTGTCTCAAACAGATCTCTTTATGTAAACTTTACAATTTCGATAACTTAGT